AATAAAGTTTGTTAAAATTATTATTTTAAATATTAATTACTTATTCAAGTATTTATATTTGTTATCCCCATTTAGCATTTCACTTTTTAAATTAAATGTACGATTACTAATAAAACATGTAGAATTCTTAAAAAACATGATTTTCAGCTATAACTAGCAACCTTCATCAGATCATTTATCCGTAATCTTGCATTTAATTTATCATGTCTGAAAGCGAAAGCCTCAAAGACACTACCATTTTAATTTTTATTTGCTTATTCATTCAGGGAGGGGATTTCACCAGACACAATGGAACTGGCGGCAAGTCCATATATGGGGAGAAATTTCCAGATGAAGATTTTACCCTCAAGCACACTGGTGAAGGTAAGGAAGTGATTTAAAAAGATAAATTAAAAACTATATAAAATGATTGAACTCTCAAAAATTTAAGAAAAGCTAGGACTGATTTTCTCTAAAAACATCTATGCACGGACTTATAATGTACTTGTCTAATGACTTTAAAAGTATACACAGCTATTTCGAAAAATGTTGAAGCATACTGAATATATACATATAATGCATATATACTGAATAGTGCATTTCAAGACCAAACGGTGTTGTTGAATGGTGTTGTTATGCCCATTTTTAAAATTACGCGACCTTCAACAGCTTCAGATGTCTGGAGCTTTGGCTTCTGTCAATCAAAGTTAGCATTGGCTTAGTTAAAGGAAATTCCCGTTCAACCAATAGCTGTTATTGCAGTTGATCCTGCAATGCGATTAATTCTTTTGTTTTAAGAATCATACAAGTGAGGCTTGATACAATGCCTGTTGTGTCATTTGCACCTCATTTGCATGCATCCATAAGATCTGCTGTTGTCGCATTCCACGTTTTTGAAATAGCTGTATACTGGTGAAAAATAGGCCCTTTGCAGCTAAGCAATCGCATGCTGATTAATTCACTGAGAGCAAATGAATGAACATCTTGATTCCCATGCGTGAAATATACTGAGCAAACAAACTTTCGACAACCTGTTTCAAGAGATCGTAATAAAACTGCATTTTGTAACACAGTGGATACACATCGTTTCATTCAGTTCTTTACAAGTAGCTAAAAAGAATCACCAATTTAATATAAAAACAAAAATTTTGCCCTCCAGTACAGGCACGTGACCGTTAACTGCAAAGGGCCTATTCTGAACGCCAGTGTATGTTTATATATATGTAAATGTTGCATTTTAGGTATTTTATCAATGGCCAATGCTGGACCTAACACAAATGGATCCCAGTTCTTCATCTGTACTGCTAAAACATCTTGGCTTGACGGCAAGCATGTAGTCTTTGGCAGTGTTGTTGAAGGAATGGACGTAGTGAAAGAAATCGAAAAGGTTGGGAGTCAATCTGGAAAAACATCCAAGAAGGTAACAATTGAAGATTGTGGAGAGCTTTGATAAAAAATTTTCCAATGAATATAATTTACACTTTGATAACGTAAAATTAAAAAGGCACTTTATTTTAGAACTGACAGTTTTGATGTCTCTGTTAACTCTGATCTATGTAAACAACTTTATTTGTCATTTATCTTAATAAAAAGAGTTGTCTCTAGCTTACAACTTAGATTGAAAATGACAGACGTTTTGTGAGTAGAGTTGTTTGTTGGTTCTCTCCTGTGTCATGTGAGTAGAGTTGTTTGCTGGTTCTCTCCTGTGTAGTATGTGAGTAGAGTTGTTTGTTGGATCTCTCCTGCGTAGTATGTGAGTAGAGTTGTTTGTTGGTTCTCTCCTGTGTAGTATGTGAGTAGAGTTGTTTGTTGGATCTCTCCTGTGTAGTATGTGAGTAGAGTTGTTTGTTGGTTCTCTCCTGTGCTTCAAGGGTTTTTCTCCTGGTTCTCTGTTTTTCCTCCCTCCACAAAACTCACAAAGTATGTACCAGTAATTACCAAATTTTTGTACTAATAAAAGATCTCCAAACTAGAAGTAAAAATGTAGTAATGAATTTCTGTGATGTCACATCAAAACAATCTATTGTTTAAGCGCAAAGGGTTATGGTTGTCGGAAGGGGTCAAATCAACGCAAATTCACCAAAAATTGTTTTAAAACCCGTATCAATCCATGAAGAGAAGTACAATAGCCAGCAAACGCTCAGAATATTTTTTAGTACATATTAACACATATTATATCTGAAAACCAGGCCATTTTAGATTAAACTGTTTCGCTAGGAGCAAATGTTGTTGAATTTTCTATTGGATTTGGTGATTCTATCCCCCGCATAAACAAGCAGTGACGTCATAGTGAAATAGGGCAATTTAATGTTTGTTTCAATGAAAAAAATATTTCTACATTAACAGAGCACAAAAAAAAACCTTGCTAGTAAGTTTTGTTCTCATTAGCAAAAATTTCAAAGTCACTACTGATCAGATGCAGTGAATAACAAACGTTACTTGATTCATGTTCTAAACTTTTCAGTCCTTCAATATTTGGACTGTGGTCATACTCACAAAACTTAGCTACATTTAGTTCAATTTTTTGTCACTCGCTAAATACAAAATTTCACCCACATTTTATGAGTTTGCAAGAGTTAATTTTTTGCCCTGATTAAAGAAATAATCTCAACAGACACCCAGTAAAAAGCACTTTGATGGTCACTTCCCAAAAATAATAAAATTAGGGTTACTTTTCTTTTACTTTTTAAATTACTTTTCATTTAAAGACACTTTCTTAAATATGATATTACGCTAGAAATTCCTTGTAGATAGTTTGAGTCACACTCGTTGGTCTCAAATACATGACAAAAATCGATCATTTTGACTTCAGTCTGTAAATATTCCGTCATATCAGATTCCTTGTCACAGTCTTTGTTTGTGGTGCTAGCTCCCTCGTAGATAACTAAAACAGAACTGCTTCTAAATGCAAAAGATCTCTGTTTTAAAAACCACTCTTTGATATCTTCTAGTTTTGTTATTATGCTTGATAAGATGGCTTTTTTTCTGTGTTCATATTCTGTGCCAATGGTATAACTCATCAATGCTAAAAAGTTAAATCATGGATATATACGTAGATATTAGCGCTGGATGTAAAAACATGGTGTGTGCAGGTAATCATTCAAAAACTCATGAATAATTACAATACTCCCCTTCACAGTTCCCTGCATTATCTCGAAAAGTAGCTGTGCTCCTGCTTCAAAGCAAGACAAACAGTGGGCTTGCAATGTTGATAGAGAAATAAATAATAATGTTGAAGGTGTTAAAAAAAGTCTCTATCATTGCAAGCTCACCGTTCTTCTTACCTCTAAGCAARGGCATGGCAACCTTTCAAGACAGCGCAGGGAACTGTGAAAGGGACATTTGGAGTGATCATAACAACCCTTTATACCTGACAGGCGGATCAGGGGTGGATCAGGGCAGGATCAGGGGTGACTAGTCATCCTCCTTTTGATCAAATTTCTCATTATATCAGTAGTAACAGTCACCCCCTTTACCTCAAATTCCTGGTAAAAACTTTATGATAGTCATGCACCTCTTGTCTAAAATTCCTGGATCCGCCCCTGTATAACAGCTATTGTGTAGTTCCAGAAATTATCCATACC